AGAGGTGTCTGCTACTCTGCTGAGGAGATCAGCTGGGAAGCAAGCCCATCTGCTCTTTGGAGAAGGACAATGGTTTTCCTCCTCCATACCAGGTTGTCTCGTAATATCATGTCTTGACATTTTTGTCTTTTTAATCTGACACTGTATAAAAAAGAATAAAACCAATTTCAGCTGAGTGAATGGCATCAAATGAGTCCCTGTGTTCTGTGCATTGAGCATCCACGGGTTTAACAACGGCTGGAAAAACCCACAGCTCTCCTTTGGCTCCAGCCCCATTCCCCCTTCAGCAGACCAACAGGCAAAGGCAGGAGCCTCCCTGGTGTCGGGCTGTGTTGATGAGGGGGAAATGCTGGCTCCAACCCAAGGGTGGTGAGTGCTGCCCTTTCCAAGCATCTGGGCAGCTCCTGCCTAACATCTGTGCCCTGCCTGTGGCCAGAGCTGCCAGCAAAGGGCTCTGACAATGTGAGGATACTTGGAGCAGGGCTGCTTTCCTATGGTGGGGGAGAAAGAATCCGTTGCCATTGTTGCAGAAGAGTTTATTTTTTCTTTGTCTGTTTTCAGAAATTACAGCAATATATTTATAAATACCTAATTACTACATTCAACAAGTAATATATTACATTACAATTAAGTCAAACAAGTACACTTAGAACATGTTCAGGGTTGGGTTCTTTTCTCCTTTTTGGGAGTTTGTTTTCTTTCACAGCATCCAAACCGCCCCCAGTGGGCTCTGCCTTCCTTTCCCTCCTTGCAGCCATCCTGGGCTCTGGCACAGCTCCTTGAGCAGTTCTACACAGGGTGTGTACAAACACAACCACTCGCCATGGCCCCAGGAGGAGTAATTCTGAGAAATTGCTACAAAATATGTGAATTTGGGCTGTGGGGGGGAAGCCTCAGTACAGGAGCTGCTGTGAATACAGGAGCTGCTATGAAGTGAGGCTACATCCTGGCCTCTGCATGGTGGAGAGGGATAAATTGCCAATGATTTTCCATCCCTGGCGTCTTCCCTCTGCCACAGCACAGGGGAAGGGAAAAAGTGAGTCGAGCACCAAGAGTATTTTGCCATGTGAAAATTCATTGTGAAGCTCAGAATTGGCAGCAGCAAGGCCAGAGGCTGGCAATGCAATTGGGAATTTAAAAAAGATTAAACTAATTTCTGTCACAAGGGCATTTTGCCTTTTAATTTTGCACAGTTGTTTTTTTTTGTTTGTTTTGGTTTTTTGGTTTTTGGTTTGTTTTTTTTTTGTGAATCCAGTGGGGGGGTGTGTGTGTAGAGGGGGTTTAATGCTTTCTTTGTGAGTGCAGCAAGGGAATTTAAAGCAGAGGCCACTTTTTCCTGTAGCCATGAGCCTGCCTGTGGTGAATTAAAGAAGAATAATAAATAATTTTATTTTTTACAAAATAAAAAGCCTTTCTGGGCAGTTGGGGCACATGATGATTAGAAAGCAGCTGCAAATGGTGGTGCATGGTGCCAAGCCTCAACTTGCAACCCCAGCCTGGCGCTGCTGAGCACAAGGAGGTTGGTGGTGTCACCAGCCCCGTGCAAAGCTGTGGCCCCTGTGGACAAACCCCAGGTCCCCCTGCCCAAACAGCCTACTGATTGTTTTGATATTTTTGGGGGGATGAGAATAGCCTAGTGTAACCCCTTGTCCAACACCCCCCAGTACCCCCAGTCCTCTTGGCACAATTGATTTGTGTTACTAAATTGATAGATGGAGCTCACGCAAGGCTGAGAAGCCACCCAGTGCTGTGATACCCACAACTCCCCAGCTGGACCAGCAAAAGACCTGGAAACCACAGAAGAAGTGTAAAAACAACCCCAAAACAAGTGGGAGAAGGTGGTGGAAGGGACCAGCTCCAATTCCCAAGGGCCTTGCAGTGGGACATCACCTGCCCTGCTGTAAAAGGTGATTCATTGTTCCTGTTTTTTAAATTCTTTTAAAACACTTCAATAGCTGTTCTATCCTGACTAGCAGCAGTACAAATGCTAAAAGTGATTTAATCCTTTTGCCAAAACAGAAAGAAAATAAAAAGGGAGGAAGGAAAAGGAAGAAAAAAAAAAAAAAAAAAGCAGAAACAGATAAGAAAAAAAAAGCAAGGTTTTTATAACAATAATTAAAGTATATAAAAAAATATACAATTTTTCTTTAATATATATGCACAGAGTAGAAGGCTGAAGCAACTTTTTTCCTTGACTTGAATCACAAACCTAGGGGTGACTAGATCTGACAAGGTAACCCCACCTTGGTGCCCCTTCCCTGCCAAACAGGAACAAAAAGGTAACTTCAACCAGTTTAATGACTTTCTTGCTTTATAGTGAAGTGCATTTCCAGTGGGAAACCCCAGGGTCAGGGGGAGGGTCTGGGGAAATGGGGGCCCACCACATACCCGGCCCCACAGGGCTTCTCCAGCTTTAGTGTTGGCAGTGGAGTCTTGGAACTGTTATTTAAAAAAATAAAACAACAAAAAATGAGCACTATAAAGCGTGGGGTGGGTGAAAGGGGGAGGGGGGAATATTGAAGCACCCTGGCCCCCAGGAGGACAGCCCAAGCCGGGCTGGTGGTTGCGTGCAGAGGGCAAGGGATGGGATCTGCTTTCCATTGGGTGGGACCCTGTGCTCCTTTGCTTCATGCACGGCACGTTCTCCATTTATTATTCTTTTTTTCTTTTTTTTTTTTTGCTTTTTTTAGCTTCAAACTTCCCAGTTGTCCTGGGTTCAGCAGTAGCAGTCATGTTTTTTGTTTTTTTTTTCCTTTGTGCTAGCTGGTGCAGTGCTGTGTTTTGACTTCCAGCCTGAGAACAGTGTTGGTGAAGTCGATGTTTTCAGTTGATGCTAAGTGATGTTTACCCTGACCAAGGACTTTGTGAGGCTCATGCTCTGCCAGGGAGGAGGGGAAGCCGGAAGGAAGCAGAGATGGGGCGCCTGACTCGGGCTAGCCAGGGAGGTATTCCATACCACAGCACGTCATGGCCGGGGTGGGGGGTGACTGGGAGTTACCCGGAAGGACACGGGCTTCCGGGTGGAACTCGTTTTCTTGGCCGGTGGTATCGTATTCTCTTCCTTGTTATTTTCCCTTATCATTGTTGTAGTTGATAGTAGCGGTGGTGATTTGTGTACATTGGTTGCTGGACTGTTCTTGTCTCAACCCGTGGGAGTTGCACTCTTTCGATCCTCCTCCCCGTTCCTCCGGGAGTGGGGGAGAACCCCGGTGGGGAGGGGACACGGACCTCGATTGTTGTCAGCTCGGCACCACTCACTGGGAGTGAGTGAACAAGTTACCTGACTGGTTTTAAACCACGACACCAGTGAAAAATATTAACTATTCAAGGTAAAAAAATAGATTATTATTTCTAGAATATATATTTGGCCTAGTGTTAGCGGCGAGGAGAAGCAAGACACGCCAACCCAATATGGGTGATAAGCAAGCTTCTACTTTATTTGTGACGCAGTTCGCTTATATAGGCATGGTATTTAGCCACGCCTCCTAGTCACAACAGTATTGGTTAGTTCTACACAGCTTCCTTCACATTCTCCTCCCACATCCGGTTTCCGGTTACCTGTGAGGCCTACACCTTGCTTTGCTCACACAAGGCCTCTAAGGATCCATGGCCTTGCTCTTGGAGCCATTCTGCAACAATTCCCCCCTTTTTCTTTTCTGCGAGCAAAACATTGTGGGTTATTCTGTTCACTTGTTTCATCACACAACTATAAGAAAGTCTAACAGCTACAATGATTAAAATAACAATGATACATAAGCGCAGTCCTTCAAATAGCAGTGTTTTAAGTCAACCTGTAATACCCCATGAGGACAACCATTTAGCTATCCCTAGGTCATTGCTCACTTGCAATTGTTGGGTAAGCTGAGCCAGGGTTTTCAGCTGTGCGTTTATCAGATTAGAATGATCAGAAAGATTCATACAACACATTCCATCAACCTCTTCCCATCCATGTCCCTGTTCCAACAACAAAAGGTCTATAGCGGCCCTGTCCTGCAGTGTTGCATGTCTCACAGAATCAACATCAAACAACAAATCAGAAATTGCCTTCGATGTAGCCTTTGTCTGCTTAGCAAGCCAGCAGCCTAGCTTGTTTAACTGAGCCAAGGCCCCAGCCGAAGCACTTACAGTGATTTGGCATATTATGATTGGATACACTCCTTGAAGACCCTTAGTGACTAGCATATAATTGGTTAAACACAGGTGTGAGAACTCAACCTTGAAAGCTTGCCAACAGTCCACAGTTCTCATTAACTTGGTGAATTCCAGCCTCTTATCTTGCTTGCTTAAGCTTCTTTGGGCCTCTCATGGCCTTGCTGTATCTTTCAGGATTATTCAGAATTTATGTACCAATTATGCATTCTCCTGTGAGAACACTGTCTCCACATCTCCCCCCTTTTGTTTTATATCCAGTAACAAGTCGCTACTACAGCAAGGCACACACATATTTACATTAGCAGAGTAACTATTACAGGGTGCAGCAGCATGTTGAAGATGCTGATGGCAGTGAGGGACTAGCCAAAAAAATTTCTTACCAGTAGAATTCTCCCACCCTCTTAATTTGTTCCATCACCTGCTTTATAACACTACCATTGTATTAAAATCTTTCCAGCTTTTGCCTTAGCATTTTTCTAGCAGCTACTGCAGATTTCCATACTCTAACATCTCTTTTACAAGTGACAAATCTATACAATACAAGGTGCAGTTTCTTATTAGCAACTAGCTAGTAAATACAGGTGGTTTTATACACAAAATCACAACCTCTAATAATAGCTACTTTACAAGCACACATATTCAGGATGTTACTTTTCAGTTGCCCCCAAGTGATGTTTTGCAGTCATTTGTTTTTCTCTTCCTCTATCTCATTCTGCTTGGGTTATTCACGGTCAGCTCCTGTAGCTGAGGCATCAGGTTTTTCCATTCGTCTGTCCAGCTCATGGGAAGGCTTGACAAACTTTGCAGGCAGTCACCATGGACCTGTAGGCAGGAAGACACAAATATACCCCCTCCCGCAGGTTATCAGTTCTTGAGAAGTAGACAGGTTAAACTGCATATTTGCAGCATCATTACTCTCCCCCCCCCCCTTTTTTTTTTTATCCCTGCAAAAGCCGGCCTGCTGGGCAGCAGATATAGCGGCCTGCCTGCTTCAGCAGTAACCATAAATACCTGCCAACAGCCGCACTTTTACATTAACCCTTTTATGCCCGAAATGTTAAACAGCTACCCGTTAAAAGCTTTTACATGAACCCAACAATAAGAAAAATACACAGAACACCGTCTGCCCTCAGCGCACATGCACATACATATATGGGATGCCACAAGCACACGCCACACAACTACAGTATTTGAAGCACAAAATCCAGACAATCATTACTCCCACTACAGTTCCATGTACAGAACGTGGCACAAGGACCCTTTGGAGACTAATAGCAAACCAGCTCTGAGAAGCATCATTGCAGTGCAAGGTGGCAGGCTCAACCTTAGTGGGCGTCCCTGCAGAGGCTCTGTCTCCCCCACATCGTATGAGGCTTGGGCTTTTATACTGACCAAAATGCACACTCATTCCGACACAGGTGGCCAGCCTGTGCTGGAAGAAGTGGCCAGCAGTATCTACAAAGGTCTCCAAGGGTTGATAGAAACCTGGACATACTTATTTTTACCAACTTCTAGTACATGAGTGTCACAGAGAAACTGTATGGGCTCCCCCTGTCAATTGCAAGAAAAAATCATAACATATACAGCTTGAGTATAAGAGCATTTTAACCCATACGTGGTCACTGCTTGTCAGGCCTCCTTAACTATTTTGAGATCAAGAGCTTCCCACTCTTTAGCCCCCTGCTGTGTAGTAAACACAGGATATGCAGAGAGGCCCACTGCAGAAAATTCAGCAGTAATGATTGCATCTTTGATTAACCCATACCAAGGATTTGTGCCCCCCCCCGATACCCCTCCCACCCCCTCCCCCTGTTTGCCTTCTTTAAGGAAGGGGTTTTATGGAGGGTAAGGTGGAGGTGCCGATGGAGATGTGTCAATCCGAGTCTCGAGGGCTTCAAGCTTTTCCATCAATTGTTGCAGCTGAGCATCTCCAAGGCCAGTAAGTAGTTGCTGATGAGCTGAGCAGACCGACCCGGGAGACAAAGAGTCAGAGTCTGGAAGCAGAGGATATAAATCTGGCTTGGATTCAGTTGATTCGGGGTCTGATCCTGGGTTGAACTCAGGGTCTCCGTTGTTCACAGCTATGTCTTGTCAGATGTCTCTCGTTCGGCATGTGGCCATCTGCAGACCTGGCTCCTCCGTAACTGAGTTAAAAATTTCCACTCTAGGGCATAATGGGTTGGAAAGGCTCGCAGCTCCTTTAAATCTCCCGCTAGCGCATAATCTCTATTTTCTACTGCGTGCTTCAAAATGGCGCCCCAATCGATCCGGTGCTGAGGCACCACCCTCTTCCTTTCAGCTTCCTCGACATTCATCATGCTTATCCCTTCTAATATACTTTCTCTGTCCTTTTCAAAGTCCCTACTTTTGGAACTGGGGTGGTGGGGGAGCAGGGGGTTACACCTCCTCCGCTGCACCTTCTGATGAAGAAGGTGGGGGGGGGAAACCCTGTGCTCCAAGCACAGGGACCGCCCCGCAAGTTGGGGGAGATGAGTTGTAATCTTCCCCTGGCTTCAACCGACCGGGGACGTCTGTTCCTAGTTTCTCTGTTGCTACAGCGGCAATTTTCTTTTCTGCCTTTTATCTTTTTGTACAGTTTATTACTTCTCTCCGTGGTTTACCGAGTTTCCTTGCCGTTTTATCATCATTAAGCATTGAGTCAAATAGTTCATCACCAAACTTTCGCCACTCACTCTCCTCAAAAACTGTATTAGGATCTACAAAAAATCCCTTAGCCTTCCCTACAGCCACTAGACCTGCTAGCTGCTTTAGAGTCTCAGGCTTAATTCCCCGCTTTTATAAAAAGCACTGTAATCAATCAGGGGCTACCTCTCGGTCCATTTTCATGGCCGGCCTTTTCCGGATCGTCCTCTTCTGGATCGTCCCGTGACCTCGGTCTCCGGATCGTCCTCCTGATGCAGCAGTGTCTGGTTCGCCCCAGCGGTGGACTCCTTTCGGTCAGTTCAAGCGCCCGGGTCCCTCACGCCACCGCAGTAACATTGCCCGTGCTCCCCGGCCACTGCCGCCGGCGCCACTCAGTCGCCGTTCCAGGTCCCTATTACTCAGGGCCCTGTATTCCAGGTCCCCGTTAACTGGGGCCCTGTATTCCGGGTCCCCGGTAACCGGGGCCCTGTAGTCCTGGTCCCTGTTCAGGCGCCATTTGTTAGCGGTGAGGAGAAGCAAGACACGCCAACCCAATATGGGTGATAAGCAAGCTTCTCCTTTATTTGTGCCGCAGTTCGCTTATATAGGCGTGGTGTTTAGCCACGCCTCCTAGTCACAACAGTATTGGTTAGTTCTACAGAGCTTCCTTCACATTCTCCTCCCACATCCGGTTTCTGGTTACCTGTGAGGCCTACACCTTGCTTTGCTCACACAAGGCCTCTAAGGATCCATGGCCTTGCTCTTAGAGCCATTCTGCAACAGCCTAGTCCCCAAGGAGCATCATCTGGGATACCCCTTGAAATAGCCCCTAGACCACTGCATTGCAGGCAAGGCAAGGCACGGCACCTCCGCAGGTGATCCAGCTCCTTTTGCAGGTGCTCATGCTCCAAGACCATCTTCTGCTTCTGAGTCCTTAATTCCTGCAGGCAGCAGAGAGGGAGAAGAGAATCAGGGCAGGCAGCAGCCATCCACATGGATGGGATCACTCCTGGGGTGCTGGGCTCGTCTGGCTGTCCCATGGGGGATGCAGGGTGGTGGCACTGCAGGGGACAGGTGTGCTATGGGAGGAACTGGGTTCCCCAGCCCCACTCATCGCCATGCTGTGTGAAAGCTGCTCTGCCATCAGGCTCAGGCTGTAGTGCTGTGCCTCCAGCCTCTGGCACTGGGTCTGCAGCACTTGGCACTCCAGGTTTTGTTCTGCAAAGCCCAAAGGAAAAGGCATGAGTGCCACCTCCTCCAGCTCTGTGCATGGCCCAGGACCAGGGCACCACAGAGGCTACCTCCAGCATCCCAGAGCATCCCTGGTCCCCACACTGCCCGAGGGGCCCAGGACTCGCTGGGAGGGCACAGGGCAGTCATAAATACACAAATTTTTCATGCATACATCAATTTTCACCAGCACTTCTTGCTTTTGTGATGTTCCTGCAGTGCTGGGAGCCACTAGTGCTTCCCCAACCCATCCCAGCAGGAGCCAGATACACCTGCTCAGAGCATGGAGTGGTTTCACCTGGGGAAACTGAGGCACAAAGTGGGATTTACCCCCCCTCCCATCCCCTACCTTCTATATGTTCCTGGAAAGCTTCAAAAATTGCCTCAATTCCTTGCCACTTGGGCCTGGGGTACTCTTCCTTCTTTCCTCCTCCTCTTCCTCAGAGTCTGAGTTGTGGGGCAGCAGGGTCAGTTCCTGGTGGGGCAGTAGCCCCTCAGCTGTGTTGCTGGGGGGTGGGGGGGGCATGCAGTCAGGCAGCTGGAGGCCTGCAGCTCAGGGATGTTGTAGCAGATGAGCTTGTGGATCTGCTCTGCCATCCCCCCTGTAGGCACCGAATGTCAGCCCCCACCCGCTCCCCATGTCCCCCACCCGCTCCCTGTGTCCCCCACCCACTCCCTGTGTCCCGCACTGCAGTGCTGCCCTCCCTGAGGCTGCATAAAAAAATTATGCTCTCCTCAAAGTATTAATTCTCTCGCTTCCAGGCCCTTTTCTGGGGGGGGGCTGCAGCATCTTCCATGGGTTTTCATTGCCCCCTGTGCACTGGAATAACTTTGTTTTCCTTGCTCATTGAAATGAATGAGCTTGTGCAGGATGGAGCTGTATTACAGAACCATGGAATGGTTTGGCTTGGAAGGGACCTTAAAGCTCATCTAGTTCCAACCCCCTGCCATAGGCAGGGACACCTTCCACTAGAGCAGGTTACTCCAAGCCCCATCCAACCTGGCTTTGAACACTGCCAGGGATGGGGCAGCCACAGCTTCTCTGGGAACCCTGTGCCAGTGCCTCACCACCCTCACAGGGAAGAGCTTCTGCCTAAGAGCTCATCTCAGTCTCCCCTCTGTCAGGTTAAAGCCATTCCCCCTTGGCCTGTCCCTACAGGCCTTTGTAAAAAGTCCCTCTCCAGATTTCTTGTGGGCCCCCTTAAGGTACTGGAAGAATACTGTCCTGCTGGGATCCCAACTTATATCCTTAGCTTCATCAGTGAGCTCCTGGGATACTCCATCAACAAGCTTCCCAGTGGATTTTGTGCCCTCGGCAGTGCCAAACCCCAGTGAGAGGGATGAGGGGGGGTCTCCCACCCCACAGGGATATCACCCCGGTGAATACCCAGCCAGCTTCCCACATCCCTGCCATTACCTTTGTGCTTCTGCAATACCTTCTGGGTGGACTGCAGCACAGATTCATGGAACTGATGGGCAAACTCCTCAGCGATGAAGGGCTCCCAGGGTTTGCTCTTGCCATTCATGCTGTGAGACCAGGATGTCCTTGGGGAGCGGACCCCTGACATATCTGAGGATGCTCAGTCCCTTTTTCCCAGGGTGCCCATCGCTCAAGCCAGGGCTTCTCTGCTGGTGTGGTGCCACTCTCCTTAGCCCTTGGTAGCTCCTGGGGTCTCAGCTGGTCTAACCTGCTGGGTTCTGCCATCTTCACAGTATCACAGTATCACAGTATGCTAGAGATTGGAAGGGACCTCGAAAGATCATCTAGTCCAATCCCCCTGCCGGAGCAGGAACACCTAGATAATGTTACACAGGAATGTGTCCAGGCGGGTTTTGAATGTCTCCAGGGAAGGAGACTCCACAACCTCCCTGGGCAGTCTGTTCCAGTGTTCCGTCACCCTCACTGAGAAGAAGTTTCTTCTCAAGTTTAAGTGGAACCTCTTGTGTTCCAGTTTGTACCCATTACCCCTTGTCCTATCATTGTTTGCCACTGAGTAGAGCCTGGCTCCGTCCTCGTGACACTCCCCCTTTATATATTTATAGACACTTATAAGGTCACCCCTCAGTCTCCTCTTCTCCAAACTATAGAGACCCAGCTCCCTCAGTCATTCCTCATAAGGGAGATGTTCCACTCCCTTAATCGTCTTCGTTGCCCTGCGCTGGACTCTCTCCAGCAGCTCCCTGTCCTTCTTGAACTGAGGGGCCCAGAACTGGACACAATATTCCAGATGCGGTCTCACTAGGGCAGAGTAGAGGGGAAGGAGGACCTCTCTCGACCTACTAACCACCGCCCTTCTAATACACCCCAGGATGCCATTGGCCTTCTTAGCCACAATGGCACAGTGTTGGCTCATGGTCATCCTGTCGTCCACTAGGACCCCCAGGTCCCTCTCCCCTACACTGCTCTCTAACAGGTCGTTCCCCAACCTAGACTGGAACGTGGGGTTGTTCCTGCCCAGATGCAGGACTCTACACTTTCCCTTGTTATATTTCATCAAGTTACTCCCTGCCCAACTCTCCAGCCTGTCCAGGTCTCGCTGGATAGCAGCACAGCCTTCTGGCGTGTCAGCCACTCCTCCCAGCTTAGTGTCATCAGCAAACTTGCTGATAGTACACTCAATTCCCTCATCTAAATCATTGATGAATATATTAAATAATACCGGTCCCAGTACTGACCCTTGAGGCACTCCACTAGTTACAGGCCTCCAACTAGACTCAGCCCCATAGACTACAACTCTCTGGCTTCTCTCCTTCAGCCAGTTCGCAGTCCACCGCACTACCTGATCATCCAGTCCACACTTCCTCATTTTAGCCGTGAGGATGCTGTGGGAGACTGTGTCAAATGCTTTGCTGAAGTCAAGGTAGACCACATCCACCGCTCTGCCATCATCCATCCACCGTGTTATTTCCTCATAAAAGGCTAAGAGATTGGTCAAACATGATTTCCCCCTGGTGAAGCCATGTTGACTGCCCCTCATAACCTTCTTATCCTTGATATGCCTTAAGATGGTACCAAGGATAATGTGTTCCATCACTTTCCCAGGGATGGAGGTGAGGCTGACCGGTCTATAGTTACCCGGGTCCTCCTTCTTGCCCTTTTTGAAGACTGGAGTGACATTCGCTTTCCTCCAGTCCTCAGGCACCTCTCCCGTTTCCCAAGACTTGGTAAAGATGATGGAGAGTGGTCTAGCAATGACTTCCGCCAGTTCCCTCAGCACCCGCGGGTGCATCCCATCTGGACCCATGGATTTATGGATGTCCAGATTGCTCAACTGATCTCTAACCCATTCCTCATCGACTAAGGCAAACCGCTCCGTCGACCTGACTTCATCTAAGGTCTCAGGGGTACAGGGCTCTTCAGGACTGCCTGCAGCAGAGTACACAGAGACAAAGAAGGCATTCAGTAACTCTGCCATCTCTGTATCTTCTGTCACCAGGGCACCCATCCCGTTCATCAGTGGGCCTACATTGCCTCTGGTGTTAGTTTTGTCTGCCATGTATTTGAAAAAGCTCTTTTTGCTGTCCTTGACCCTTCTTGCCAGGTTTAATTCTAAGGATGCCTTAGTCCTCCTAGCTGCCTTCCTACATCCTCTAGCAGCAGCCTTATATTCCTCCCAAGTGGCCAGCCCCTCCTTCCATGACCTGTAAACTCTCCTCTTCCACTTGAGCATACCCAGCAATTCCCTATTTAGCCACGCAGGTCTCTTGGCCCTCTTCCTTGACTTCCTACTTGTCGGGATGCTCCGATCTTGAGCACGGAAAAAGCAGTCCTTGAATGTCAACCAACTATCTTGGGCCCCTTTACCTTCAAGCAGCCTTGCCCATGGGATTTCCCCTAGCAATTGCTTGAAAAGGCCAAAGTTTGCCCTGCTAAAGTCCAGGGTTGCAATTCTACTTGGTATTCTACTAGTCCTACCACACAAGATCCTGAACTCCACCATCTCGTGGTCGCTGCAACCAAGGCAGCCCTCAACCCTTACTGCTTCGACCAGATCCTCCTTGTTAGTGAGGATGAGATCCAGCAGCGCTCCTCTCCTGGTCGGCTCATCCACCATTTGCAGGAGGAAGTTATCATCCATACACTGGAGGAACCTCCTGGACTGTGGCTGGGTTGCCGAGCGGTCCTTCCAGCAAACATCAGGGAAGTTAAAATCCCCCACGACGACCACAGCCTGTGACTGTGAGGCCGCTCTCAGCTGCCTGTAGAAGGCCTCGTCAACTTCCTCACCCTGATCTGGTGGTCTGTAACAGACACCCACAACAGTATCACTCCTGCCAGCCTGCCCCTTAATTCTCACCCACAGACTCTCAACTCGCTCGTCATCTGTCCCTGGACAGAACTCGGTGCATTGTAGTTCCTCCCGCACATAAAGAACAACCCCACCACCCCTCCTGGCTGGCCTGTCTTTCCTGAAAAGGACATAGCCCTCCATGACTATATTCCAGTCATGTGAGCTGTCCCACCACATCTCTGTAATTGCCACCAGATCATAGTCTCCTGACTTAACACAGGTTTCCAACTCCTCCTGCTTATTTCCCATGCTGCGCGCATTGGTGTACAGACATTTCAGGGAGCGAGCTGAGCACACCGATTTCACCCTAGGATTATAGGAGGCCTCCCAGTCTTCATTAATTCTGGAGCGCTGCCCCACTGGGGCAAGCCCAGCTACAACCCCATCCCCCTTCGAATCTAGTTTAAAGCTCTCCAAATGAGCCCTGCTAATTCGTGCCCCAGCATCCTTTTGTCTCTGTGAGACAAACCTTTCTCACTTGTCATTGTCCAGACTGGTGCCCTATAAAACCAGCCGTTATCAAAGAATCCAAAGCCCTGCCTGTAGCACCAGTCTCGAAGCCAATTGTTCATGAACTGAATCTTCCCATTCCTTCCCACATCATCAGTGGAAGATGGAAGGAGAGAGGAGAAGATCACTTGAGCCCCAAACTCTTTCACCATCCGCCCCAAGGTCCTGTAGTCTTTCTTCATCCCCCTCAGATTGCGGGAAGCAGCTTCCTCCCCACCTGTCTGGAAGACCAGCAGCGGGTAGTAGTCTGTCGGGTGCACCAGGTTGGGGAGCTCCCTGGTGATATCCCTGATCCGGGCTCCAGGCAGACTACACACTTCCCTATGATGAGGGTCAACTCTGCATATCGGGCCCTCTGTTCCTCTCAGAAGGGAATCCCCTACTACAATGACCCTTCTTTCTTTCTTACCAGAGGCAGTCTTGAGGTGCAAAGTCGACCCCCTTTTCCTATGTGGCCTTGTGGGCTGGCCTTGCCCCACATTCTCACCTACCTCTCCTTCAAGATCCAGGGCCTCAAACCTATTACGGAGGGACACCTGGGGAAGCAGGGCAGGAAGGGGGGAGGGTTTCCCATGACATCAAACTGGAACTCGCTTCCAACCCTCGTCGTCTTTTTGGTCCCCTACCTCTGCGCAACAGCTACAGGGCAGGGGCTGTCTTGGGCCATCCCCCTCTGTGTGAGAAGGCAGGGGGTCCTTCCCCTTTTGGGGGGTATCTCCCTGGAACCGTTCCGACTGGACCCCTGGCATGGAGACAGCAAAACCCACAGGTTTATCCAGATCCAGCAGGAGTTGTGGCACTGGCACCTCTTTGGGTAGAGGAGCAGTCAGCTGCTGTTGGAGCTCCATGTCCCCCAGCAAGACAAAGCCGTGCCCCCATCCCACTGGGCAGGGATGCTCCCGGTGGCCAAGAGCCAGGGAAAGACTGGTGGTGCTTACCAGTGGTGGGGCTGCTGGGGCTGTCCCATGGGGAGGTCTTCACCACCACAGGGGCCAGTGTGGTCTTCTGCTTCATGACCTGGAGCATCTCCCCCAGCTTCTCCTTGTCTGTAGCATGGGAATCTGAGGTTTAGTGTAGCCCCTGCTCAGCAGAGCAAGCTCACAGCCCCAGGCAGAACCCCTCCATAGCACCCCCCAAACCAGGGAGTGGGGACCACCCCAGCCATGGCCAGCCCCCAGTGTGTATGAGGCATGGCTATTATTACCTTTCCTCTTCTCAGCACTGATGTGCATGAGGTTGAAGATGGTGAGGAAGTGCTGCTTCTCCTCAAAGTTGGGGCTGTTGTTCATCTCATCAGTGCTGTGGTGGGTAGAGAGCGGGAAGCACGGGGTGGGTGTGCGGCACTTGCTCTGCACCGTTGGTGGTGAGGGGCTCCTCTCCCGCAGCATCCACCAGCGTTTGCGCCATTTCTGGCTCAGCATTTCCTCCTTCTGCTGCTGTGTGGTCATGCTGAAGAGCTGCAGGAACTCCAGCTTCTGGGGCACTGAGGGGGAAAGCAGAGCAGGGTCACCCCTGGACTGGCACCCATCCTCATCCCCACCTCCATTCCTGTCCCCATTCTCATCTCTGTCCCCATCACCATCCTCATTTCCATCTCCGTCCTCATCCCTGTCCCTTTTCCCATTGCCATCCCTGTCCTCATTGTCATCCTCATCTCTATCCCCATTCCTGTCCCCATCCTCATCCCTATGCCCATGCCCATCCTCGTCCCCATCCCCGTCCCCATCCCCATCCTCACTCCCATCCCTGTCCTCATCCTCATTCCTAACCCTCTGGTGCCACTGCAGCTGGCTGGGAACAGTGACTACTCTGCAACACTGGGAGCTGGTCCCAAGGGGACAGAGTGGGACAGGGGACAGTGAGTGCCAACAGTGCCTCAGAGGATGTACCCAGCTTCAGCAGGGGCTGCTCGGCCATGCAGTGGAAATGTGCCCGCAATTCCTCCTCTTCACTGTCGTCGCAAGAGTTGTCCAGGTTGTAGTAGTAACCTGAGGACAGGGAGAGGCTGTGTGTGAGACTGGGGAGACCATGGGGACCTACTGGGACCCCAGGGAATCTGCTGGGACCCTGGGGAACACACTGGGACCCTGATGGAGATGGGTGCAGTAATGCGAGATGCTGGGGGGGCAGTGGGGGATCCAATGTGGGTCCCAGCAGGGCAAGAGGTGTAACTCAACAGAGCCCTGTCGCACCTCTACCGGCTGTGGGACCCTGGAGGGCATCCCCCACCCTTGTGTCCCCACCCAGCATGGCTTTGGGATGACTGCCAGGGGCTCAATAGACAGGTTAATGGGGCATAGCAGGGGCGAGACTGCAGCTGAGTCCCCCCAAGCCCTCCATCTTCTCCTCACTGCTGTTCTTATCCCTGGTCGTGCAGTCCCATTAATATTTAATGATGTCCGCTTATTAGCCTCAGTTCATCATTTATTAATTCGGCATGTTTAGAGTGGAGGATTTACTGAGCTGCTCAGCTTGCAGGAGCATTTGTATCACAGGCTGACGGCATTCCCAGGAGATCCACCGGCTGCCCCACCACCACTAGGTCCTGGTGCCAGTGGTGGGGTGTGTGTGTGTCCTTGCCACGGTGCCAATCCTCCAGTACCTCACCTTTCTCTTGGGCCTCCTGCCGCCAGCGCTCCTCCAGGTCTGGTTTGCTGACCAGCCTGCGGTGCTGCTGCATGAACTCGTCATAGATATACATTGCCGATGGCGAGGAGAAGCAAGACACGCCGACCCAATATGAGTGATAAGCAAGCTTCTACTTTATTTGTGTCGCACATCGCTTATATCCTCGTGGTGTTAATTATGCCTACTAGTCACAACAGCATTGGTTAGTTCTAAACGGCCTCATTTACATTCTCCTCCCACATCCGTTTTCCGGTTACCTGTGAGGCCTTTGCTCACTTTGCTTTGCTCGCACAAGGCCTCTAAGGATCCATGGCCTTGCTCTTGGAGCCATTATGCAACAATTCCCCCTTTTTTCTTTTGTGCGAGCAAAATGTTGGTCATTCTGTTCACTTGTTTCATTAAACAACCATAAGCAAGTCTAACAACTACAATGATTAAAAGAACAATGATACATAAGTGCAATCCTTCAAATAGCAGTGTTTTAAGCCAACTCGCAATGCCCCATGAGGACAACCATTTAGTTATTCCTAGGTCATTGCTCACTTGCAATTGCTGGCTAAGCTGAGCCAGGGTTTTCAGCTGTGCATGTATCGAATTAGAATGATCAGAAAGATTCATACAACACATTCCATCAAACTCTTCACATCCATGTCCCTGTGCCGACAACAAAAAGTCTATAGCGGCTCTGTTCTGCAGTGTTGCATGTCTCACAGAGTCAGCATCAAACAACAAATCAGAAATTGCCTTCGATGTAGCCTTTGTCTGCTTAGCAAGCCAGCAACCTAGCTTGTTTAACTGAGCCAAGGCCCCGGCCGAAGCCACACCTGGCGTGAGAAAAGAAGCTGCTATAACAGTGTCAGGCGACCAAGATTTTACATCAGATCTACAATCAGCAGTGTCCTGGGTTCAGCAGCAGCAGTCATGTTTCTCCTTCTTGGTAGCTGGTGTAGTGCAGTGTTTTGACTTTCGGCTCGGGAACAGAGCTGATAGAGATGTTTTGGTTTGGCCAAGGACTTTGTGAGCCTCATGCTCTGCCAGGGAGGAGGGGAAGCTGGGAGGAAGCAGAGACAGGACACCTGACCCAAACTGACCAAAGAGGTATTCCATACCACAGCACGTCATGCCCAGGATGTAACTGGGAGTTAGCCGGAAGGGCTGGGAGACTGCAGGGTTGGAGGAGGTATCGGTCGGAGCTTGGTCGGGCTGGGGGGGGGCAAGTTATTGGTCGGCTGGTGGTGAGGTGTTGTATTCCCTTGTTATTTCCTTTATCATTATTATAATTGGTGGTAGCAGTAGTGATTTGTGTTATACCTTAGTTACTAAACTGTTCTTATCTCAACCCGTGGGAGTTGCATTCTTTTCAATTCTCCTCTCCGTCCCTCCGGGAGCAGGGGGAGGGCAAGAAAGGGGGGGGAGGTGAGTGAACGAGTTACCTGACTGGGTTTAAACCACGACAAGCAGTAAAGCTATGTACAAAGCATTTTAAGCGCCTTAAATGGTGCTGTCGAGACATATCAAGAATCATTGAGGTGTTGGGGGTCAACAGTGTCAGCCTTCCAATGGAACAAGGTCCCCCTTTTATTTTGGAGGGAATACCAGGCCAGGCTCGATCGCCACAGATCAAAAACACTCCACTGGGCAACTTCAGGGGGTGATTGGTAGATCAGGAAGTGTTGTGGGAAGCATACTTGCACCACATGCTAGCATTCCTATAAACTAAAAGGCTAGAATTTACATTTGTCGCGGTACCATTTACCTTGGCTTGGGTGCTTGTCCAACTAAATGTCACACAAGCATCCATTCACACGGCCCCTAATAACTGTAACTCTTGAGGCTCGTTTGGGGCAATAGGCAAATAGGGTACCCAAGCATCCCAATTATCTGTTGTGCTGTTGAGGTCGGTAGCACTACACACAGGTATGGTGGACGGGCAGGGCCAGTCATCTATAGGAACACCAACTAAACAGGTTGAAAACGGGTTTCCAGGGGAAGATGAGGCGAGGCAAATGACATTCTGTCCCGTAAGATTAGCCATTGTCACCCATACGTTGGTCTTGGGCTGTGGAGACAGATAACTGGCCGTTTCTGGTGTCTTCATTACTATCAGGAGCAGCAGGGGAAGAGAAAGACACTGTTTTAGTCCACTTCGCAGGGACCCATTGTGTACCTGTGGATGTAAGCACACACATATAACCTCGCCCCATATACTTCACTTCTGCCAGGCCCTGCCACAGGCCCATGCAGGGATCACGGTACATGACCATCATGGGTGCCTTAGACTCTGATGCTGTGACTCGGCCGTGCACTTGTGCAGGGGGAGAGTCCTGATCTGCAAAAACGCACAAGTAATTTAAAACAAACAATGCCTTGGACAGTCTTTCTTGCATGTCATGGATGTCACTGAACTTTTCAAGGTACCGTTTCAGGGTCTGATTTGCCCGCTCAACTATTGCCTGTCCCGTTGGTGAATGGGGAATGCCAGTCACGTGTTTGACTCCCCATTGTTGACAAAATTGGCGCATTCTCTCACTTACATAGGCAGGCCCATTGTCCGTTTTTATTTGCTGAGGTACTCTCATGACAGCAAAGCAGCTTGTTAGATGGCGTACTACATGGGAACCCTTTTCTCCTGACTGGGATGTAGCCCATAGGAATCTGCTATATGTGTCAATTGTGACGTGTACATACTTTAGGCGCCCAAACTGCTGCACATGGGTGACATCCATCTGCCACAATTCACAAGGGCCTAAGCCCCGAGGGTTCACCCCAATCCCCAGTCCTGGCCCATGATGGCTACAGCTGGGGCAGGCCCTAACAGTGCCTCTCGCTTCTTCCATTGTGATCTTAAATTGGCAGAATAGTCCCTTGGCATTCTGGTGAAAGGTGTTGTGGGCCTCCCTGGCCTTTACAAAGTCGCTCAGAGGTGCAGCAATGGAAACTAATTGATCTGCTCTATCATTGCCTTCCCCCAATCCCTGCAACCATTTATGACTCCGTATGTGAATGATGGCATAAACACACTCCCGCTGGTGAATGGCCGCCTGCAGCTGACGCAGCAGGTCAAACAACCGCCGGTTTTGACATTCTCTGAGTCGAGCATCCTCAGTGCGCTGAACCACACCTGTGACATACATAGAATAAGAGATTACATTTAGTTCTGTGTGATGCCAGTTCAGAAAGTTCCAAGCGACCACTGCCAGTTCTAAAGTTTGCAGTGAGTCCTCTGCTTCCGCGGCTAATATCTGTTGGTGCCATTTTTCATCCTGCATCCAGGTTGCTGCAGCATTCCGAGACTTCTTTCCGGTGTCTGTAAAAACCATTACTGCATTGGCCAGCAGACGCTCACTCCTTTTTGGTATCTTGATCCATTCTTTCTGGCTGATCCAGCGCAGGGTGGTGGTTTGCAGCTGTTCTACCTTGAGCTCCACAGCCTGAGATAGCAGGCTGGCTTGTAACGCCTGTGAATGCTGGAGATACCACTCAAGATCCCGCCGTTTTATCGGCAAGTAGATGGTTCCAGGTTCCTGGGCCGTTAGCTGTAACACCCTCATACGACCCTGTTGAACCAACTCTGCTAAATTTTCAATTTTCTGTTGAATAGTAGTTTTGGGTCGGATAGCGGTAAAAAGCCATTCCAATATCTTCACCTCCTCCCCCTTTTTCTTTTTGCACTGTGTCAGTGCACCTAAAAGTTGCTTA